TGTGGGTTGGTTCTGGGTGCGGGTGTGAGTGCGGGTGTGGGTGTGGGCGAAGACAAGACATATACACTCGCCTACAATCTCACGCACACCCACACCCACCACCCACACACCCACCCACACCACACCAACACTCACACCCATCCACACCCACACCCACACCCACACCCACACCCACACACACACACACACACACACACACACACCCACACCCACACCCACACCCACACCCACGTAAGCCCTGTACATACCTACACCAAACGCTCACATCCGCACACTTGTAGTGTCACATTACACGTACGTACACCAATCCCAGAACTCCTGGGAGAAACTCACACTGGTATGCTCGCATTTACATCTACATTTCAGCTTAGATTGTTGAAAGGAAAGAAAAAATAAAGATTTCTTTTTATAGTGCAGCGAACAAAGAATATAAAACAGCAAGGGTTGCCTGACTTTTACCGCAAAAAGAATATAATTTCTTCGTTTTCTTTTCTTTTGCGCAAGTCAGTGTTTATTGACATGTTTTTATTACGAAATGAAGGGTAGTGATGTAAACTTTTTCTGAAAGGCGTGAAAAAAATCCCTTAGACAACTGGGAATTTTGTTTGTCATAGAATATTTCTCACTAGCAAAAGTAAATAATATGCCCTCATATTGTCACTAACTTTCCCCATTGTTTTTGTTGGGTTTTATGTTTATGCAGCATATATATATGTGAGTGTCCACTCTCAGGTAAGGTCCAAACTTTGCAGGACTAGCTCAATTTCACATTTGAGGTTAGACGCTTTCATTGTCTGATAGAGGAGTATTTCTACGGTAAAACTTTATTCAGTCCGTAGATACATGTCGGTTTCACATAGTTCTTAATAAAATGAGCTGAATCAATGACATTTTAGTCTATACAACCGTCAATTGATCAAGTAAGTTTAAATCTATGAAGCTATGAACAATGTTCCATAGAAGCAGTTTGGCGTTTGAAACCGTTCATAACTGCACGAGTTGGAACATAGTGGTTCAACTGATGATTTTTCTAGGAGAAATACTATTTATTGTAGTCAGTTCATTAATAAGAATCAAAATCTGGCGTCGATCTACAGACTAGTATAGAATTTAACATAAATTTCTCCTTCAATCTAGTATGAGACGCATTCAATATCGGATCGAGCAATCGCCTAGGCGAACCCAAGATTATAACGTAATACTAGGTTGGACACTAACCTATATATTTGATTAGTCAACCTTTTCTGAAGATGTCAGCCCTATAGAGTGATAACTTGTGAAGAAAATCATCAATATGTCTCCTGGACTTATGTGTCATGGAAACGAAAATTTATTATTGTATTTACATCTGTCTTATTTGAAATTCTATTTTGAATTGAGGGTGGTAGTTTGTTAATTATTATACATGAGCGTAGAAGAAGAAATGTATGATGATCTTCATGCATAATCAGTACTGACCCGACTTTCGACCTTTAGAGGAGGATGTAAACATTTTTTGACTGAGTTAGCGCGCTTTTAAAAACACAGTAGATTTCTTATTGTTTATTCTGTATATTTTCTACATAAGCAATACAGTTCAATAAATATTATCACGTAAAAGAAGCAAATATTAAAAAGAAATGAGAGACGAACAAAAGGTACAACCATAGAAACATTGATAAGTGACAGAGGAATACACGAATATTCTAAACTCATTAGGATTACGAAGCAGATTCATATTTTTTTCAATACATTTAGTGTGATCTTCTTCGGCTCATTACATTAAAACGAAATTTTTCGACTGAGAAGCGCCATGTATAATATGGCAAACCACGATTTTATCTTTTTTCGCTATTAAGGAAAAAAAATCGTCTTCATTTGAAAGTGAAAAAAGTACCCAGATTCTTTTAACTACGAAAACAGTAGTAGAATCACAAGTATCAGCTGCATGGTCCCTATTTTTATGCAAACATGTCAGAAAAGAACATGCACTAAGATTGATTGCATTAGTTTTAGATACTGATCAAGACTATCACGCGTATATGCGTCGGCGATAGTCAAAAGGTAATGAA